TGTTCAAAGAGATCCATTATATGTTGGCTTGTAATTTGATTCCAAAGATGAAGTTAAAAAGTATTAAAATATTATGCTATGAGAATACATCAAAAATTATTTTGTGGTTGAGTAAAAAACCAATAAAATTTCATGCGAAGTATGTGAACCATAATAATGGTTGTCCATGAAGAGTGAAAGTGTTATTACTTATAAATTTAAATAATGAATACATAGATATGTCAATTCTATAATTTCTCAAGATTATCAAAAACTCAATTTAAATATGATTTGTTCATGCATTATTTGTAAGTAATGATTTAAATAAAATGTGTTTTTTGTTTAAAATATTTTAAATATAATTGATGTCATCTTATATTATTCTTGTTGTATTTATTGTGGGCATGGTGAATCAAGAAACATCAATGCTTATAAGTTTAATTCAAAAGAGGATGATTCTCAATTTAGATATAAAACTACACATAAAAAATTTGGAAGAAAAAGCAAAAATCCATTGTAAATGTCTTTAATGGCTACAATGAATCATATGCTAAATTGTTAAAATGGTTAATGTATATGCAATTACATGCTACTCGATCTATTTATAAAATTTAAATAAAAGAGTATGTTGTTTGCCAAGTTAATAATATATTTAAAATTTATAAATGATTATCTTTATCCTTCAAACAATGTAAAGAAGCTTTTAACTTTTGTAAATTAATAATAAAGGTATATGATGTTTTTTCATGAGAGTGTTGATCTAGTTCTTTATTAATCAACTCAGTATTTAACAAAATAGAGGTTGACAGTAGAGACTAAATCATAAAAAAAAATTATATAAAGACTTATAATATGTGTGTTACAACTATAAGGAGCAAAAACATAATTAAGTCTAAAATATTTAAAAAAATAAATGATGTGACAATGATATGAAAGTTTTGGATTAGTTCTTTTTTAATCAGCTCAACGTTTGACAGAAAGGTTGATAATAAAGATTAAATCCTAATATCTTAACATTTATGAATTAAATTTTAACAAGAAAATTTTATAAAAATTTATCAGAAAACATACTACATTTATAGAGATAAAAAATATAATTAAACTTATATTTTTTAAAAATTATATAATAAATAAATGAATAAAATTTATAAAATATTTTATAATATTGATGTGTAATTTTTTTATTGCATGCATTATAGAATGTTAAGACATATATCTACTAATATTACCTTAAGTTTTATGTCCTGTGAATGCATTTTAGATTTAAATGTTTTTTTAAAATTAATCAACAATATATTTATTTTCTTTGAATTTATTATTTTAAATGTTCATCTCTTTAAATATTAAATAATATAAATTTATCTTAAAATTAAATTATATTTCATCTTAAATTAATTAAATAATTATTTTATTAAGGTATATTTTTATTTTATTCCTCTTTAATAGTTATTAATTAATTAACTAATTATTTTACTAGTTAATCAAAATATATTCTTCTTCTAATTATTAAATATAATATATTTATTAATTAAAATAAAATTATTTTATCTTATTAATACAATGATTTATAATATTAATTTATAGCATATATACCTTTATGCATTGTAAATTATCAGAACCATTTCATATCATCATCACTTTATGTCTCATGCAATATAAGTTTATTTTAAAATTATTTTTTATTTTAAATTATTTCATTGGATAATTATCTTTATTAATTAATATAAATATACTTTTTATTCTTCTTTTAAAATATTTTTTTTATTAAATAAACTTAATTTAGTATTTTAAAAACTTTAACTAATGTTTCTAACTTTAATAAGTTAAATAATTAAGCATTTGATTAGTTATAATTATTTTTCTATTTTGACATACAATATTTGATTAATTAAAATTATAATTGTTGAATAAGTTATAAAAATTTAAGTATAGTTTATATTGTCTTAAATTTTTTGTATTACACATTTTTTATATAAATTAAACTATTTTTAATCTTTATAACAATTTACAATATAAATATATAATTTTTCTTTGCTTTTGTAACATAACATGTATAATTATGTTATCTTATATCTTAAATGTTATAATTTTATTTTTTTAAAAATAAAACTAATTTTAAAATAAATAAATATTTCTTAAAACAAAACCAACCGTTATTTATAATCATGTAGTGCTAATATCTTGTTATACATAAATAACTCACAAACTTATATTTAATTTCAATAGCTATATCATTTTAAAAAATTTCAATAGTTATATTATTTTTAAAAATTTTAATTAAATACATTTTGATAGGGACTCCTTTAATTTTTTTTAAAATACTTATAATGAATATTTTTTAAGACTTAATTTGTTGCAACTCAATGTTAAAATGAAACAGTCCAAAAGAAGTTTAGAAAATGATTTAGCTACACCGTTAAAGCTTATATTACGAAGACCACTTAAATTCTATTTTACAAATTCACCATGTTCAATTACAATAAAAGTTAATAAAAATAAATAAAATAAAAGTTAATATAAAAGAAGTTAAGCTATTTGTATTCAGAGATACGAATATTTATTGTCTTTTTGTTTTCATTCACAAAACTTCAACATTGACCATTATTTAAGAGAATGAGTGTTAATAAACTAGTTTAAACCCATACAAATTGCTAAAATTAAACCAAAAAGTTTAAGATTATTAGACTAAAAATTAATTTTTTATTGGATTGAATTAAATTTCAGATATAATTTTAAAAACCAATCATGAAATATAAACTAAACTTACAGAATTATACATAATTTTATTTATAAAATTATCATTCAATTTATATTTATGTAAGTAATATTTATGAATTTAATTTTAATATTTTATTGCTTTATTATTTAAATTGCAAATAATAATATTTTTTTATTTTCAATAATAATGGATTCGTTGAAAGTTTATTTTTTTATCTCTTATTTTTTTTATTATATAACCTTTTCATTGTATATCTAAAATAGTTTTAATTAAATAGAAAAAAATATTTTTAATTAAAAATATGTTAAAGAATAATAAGATATTTCTTACTTCATCACGATATAATTTTAGATTTACATAAAATATTTTCTATTATGAATTTTAATATTTCAAATTAATTATTAGTATATTTGTTGTATATTTTAAATTTTATTGACTGCTTCCTAAACAAATTGCATAATAAAAGAAAAACTGATTTCATTTAAATTATTTTTTATTGGGTTATATTAGATTAAATTTAAAATGAAATATCAAAATGAAATAAATATAATTCGGTCATATTTTTTTCCTTTAAAATTTTTCCAATTCAATCTAGAATCTTCCGCACATCCTAGGACATAAAAGGGGTTGTCATAGGGTGGTTCGCTGAGCTTTGGACCACCCGTGCTCCACCATGTTTTTTTAGTTTTTACATTATAAGCTCTTATTTATGTTGATTTTCTGTATGGTCCTTTGTTTTAGACCTCTCGTAGCATATGCATACTAGTTTTTGGCTTTTTGTTTTGTAAAAGTAAGAACAATATCACTTTTGTCCATTAAGAGGTTATAATATTTTTTATTTTTTTTTTGCAATTCAATCTTGTAGGATTAGTTTGAGAGCTATTTGGCGGTAATTCATGACTCATGATATGATAAATGAGTTTTTTAGATATTGATTACTTATCATGATTAACAATAAGACTAAAACTTGTTAGAAATAAATTTAAAAATATAGTATAAACTTTGTTTTAAGTTAATGAAGACAATTAAGATCTATGCATTTTAAGTTAAATATAACTCTTTTTACTAATATCTATGATTATTAACTTAATTATAAGAAACAATTTCACATCATTATATTTAGATTTAGTCAAATTAGTAAATTAAGCAAAAGTAAGTAGGGTCTTTACATAGAAGAGGTTTTAATATTTATTTTCATAAACTGTCTTTTTTAGAATATTTAGTCTTGCAAGATTGGTTTGTAGGTTATTTAATAATGATTCATGATATAATGAATAAGTCTGTAGATGTAGAATTATTTATCGTGGTTAGCAACTAGAGTTAAAGATGTGAATAACAAATTTGAAAATTTGGTGTAAACTTTGTTTTGTGTTTAATAAAAGACAATTAAGATTTATGCATTTTGAGCAAAATATAATTCTTCTTACTGATATCTATGATTCTTGACTTAATTTTAAAGAACAATTTCATATCTTTCATGATGATTATATTTAGATTTGATCAAAATAGTAATTAAGTAAAAGTAAGCAAATTTTTACATAGCAAAAGTTAAAACTTTAACATTTAGACTATTGTTCAATTTATAACTTTTCAGTTCTTTATTTAAATTATCATATAAACTAAATTTAAATATAACCACTATATGTGTTGTGAAAATAATTAAGTCAATTATCTATATATTAAGCAGAAGAAATGTAATTTGACTTAAAAAGTATAAATGATGATGATCTTTTGTTAACATGAAACAAGATATTGTCCCAATTTTTCAAATTCTCAAAAATTTTATCTCACATCTTGTTTTTGGTTGCTACTCATGATAAATGACTCACCACATTCACAAACTCATTCAAAATATCATAATTTACAACATTGCAAATCAAATCACCATATTTTACTGTGATAAGTCATTACCAAGTATCTTACAAACAAATAACTATAAAATTTGATTGCTTAAAAAAGATTTTTTTTTTATAAATTGATACTCTAGCTACATCTCTACATTGAGGAAGACAACATTGGTCTTTTAATTCATGAAAATAAAAACTCTAAAATTGATGTCAATTTTTTCTTAGAGGAGACAAACCTTAAAACTCCTAAAATGAAAATGTTGTTGTTCTTTCCTTGGAGAAGATGAAAACCCTAAAACTGATATGGATTTATGACGAAAAAAAATATAAAAAAGGACCATGCAGCAAATTAACATAAATAAGCACTTATAATGTAAAAACTAAAATACGGGGAGATCCAAAGCACAGCACCACCCTGAAATAATCCTAAAAAGGGAGAGTGGAAAGTGAAAGTTAAGACGAGCGTTAGGAACTATGAGAGCACTTACACTTACTGATGACCGATAGAAGCTGCTAGAAGCCCAATCCGTCACGAAAAGTCCAGACCCTGTCTTGTAAGTCGCCACGACGATTAACATATAAACCGAAGAAAAGGCTACGCCGCGCTGCTACACACAATGGACGCATCAAAACTCAATCAATTGAAGCATTTCATCGAACAGTGCAAGTCTAACCCTTCCATACTTGCCGATCCCTCACTCTCATTCTTCCGCGAGTACCTCGAAAGGTTCATCTAATTCACACCCGTTTTTGTTTTTGAAACCACAGTTCCATTTACTTAGCCGTGTTGTTTTCGGTTATTCTTTTCAGTCTCGGCGCCAAGCTTCCCGAATCTGCTTACTCTAAATCGGTACCCTAATGTTCTATAAATACTTGTCGCTGCTTTTTATTTTTCTTTTTGTGTATGAATCTGTATGTTGTGGTGTGTTCGAAAGAGACACGTGGAGAGCGATGAGGACATAGAGGATGTTGCGGACGAACAAGAGAAGGTGGAGGAAGCAGAGGAAGATGAAATAATTGAATCTGATGTTGAGCTCGAGGGTGAAACCTGTGAGCCCGATGATGATCCTCCGCAGAAGGTTTCTTTTTTAATATGAGATTTTTTCAAAATTAATATGGTTCATATATGTTGCATTTGGGCTTTTTATTAAGTTAAATGCATGTCACGTTTCAGATGGGAGACCCCTCTGTCGAGGTCACTGATGAAAATCGTGAGGCTTCGCAGATGGCCAAAGTTAAAGCCATGGAAGCGATTTCTGAAGGTAACGTTCATTGTAAAGTGAATAATGCTAATGCATGTATGATTTATTTATTTATTCATGGGGATTGTTTGGAGGTGGATGGATCCACAACCAAGGCACAAGTAAAAGGAAATGCAAGCACAATAAAGGAGACAATTGTTATTCTATACAATTAAGTATATTACAATTTTTAAACGGCTTGAGTTGCTAATTCTTATGGCTAGTGACAGGAAGGCGGGAAGTAATTCTGGGAAAAAATAAATTTTTTAACTGTATATGTGGGGCAAGAAAGCTAGTATGTTTGTCTGGTCCATTAAATGTAACTGACATCATATGTGGTGTGTCTGGAGCCATCTAAATGCTACTTGCATACAGTTTTGTGTTATTGGTCATTTTGAAATCAATGCTAAACACGTGGAATTTGATGCTTTAAGTCCTCATTTTGTGTTTATGCGACTTCTTACCACTTAATTAGTACGTTTTTCTCAAAGTGTTGAGGCAATTCTCTCTCAATTAATAATATGAGCAAGTACACACAGGTCACGCATTGTGCATCATGAAATATCTCTTCCCATCTAAAAGCAGCAGTTCAAATTTTCATATGCAGCCATATGTGGGGAAACCGTCTTCCCTAGCTTACTAAGCTTAGAATGTTGCACCTTGACGACGTAGCAGGTGGCAATTATGTCATCCAATGATGTTACCTTCTTTTCCTACTTGCTTAGACAGCACTCTTCCCTCGATCAAACTAGACTCTGGTACTGCTCATTAGGAATTGGATGGATAAGAACCTACAGTAAACATGCAAGAAGGCGGAAATGAAATAATAAAAATAATAAGCTACATCTTTTATTATTATTATTAAGCTACATCTTTTAACAACAATAAATAAAATTTCTTCACGAGCAAATATGTTACATCTTTTGAACATTCCAATTTGCAAACTCTCGCAGTAATCTCTGTCAAATACTCCAATTTCAAACATCTCTCATCTATCTAGGCAATTTTTTTAGTGATATTCTATTCCAATGACAAAAGCTTATATAAAAAAATCGTCTCATGCTTGAGTCTAATGTATAAAACTGTAACAGTAATTTTTATCATTTGACTGTGTAATGCAGGTAAGTTAGAGGAGGCGATTGAGAACTTAACAGCGGCAATTTTACTCAATCCTACCTCTGCCATAATGTATGCGACTAGAGGTATGACTTGATTTGATCGTTCATTTTTTACATTGTACAGTTATTTGGTTCTATCATCCAAGATAAATGTTCATTCTTAACAGTTTATATATCATTTGCAGCCAGCGTTTACATCAAAATGAAGAAACCCAATGCTGCAATCCGTGATGCAAATGCTGCTTTGGAGGTTATTTTCTTCACTCTGTGTTGTTAGATTGACAAACTGAATTATATTGCTGCTTGTCTTAAAATAAATCTGTGACTAAGGTGTACTTGTTTAATGATTTTGTTGCATTATTCAAAATTTCCTGTGTTTTATAATTTTCCCTCTTAAAAATTGTGTTGTATAGCACAGTCGCACTCCAACCTAAATATTTTTAGTAATGCCCCTGCTTCTGAGTATGTTAACTGGATTAAGAAAGATTATGGGTGTATACTACTTCAATAACATTTACCTGTTCTTCAATCGACCATGTTGTTCTATTTGCCAGTGGCAATACTTTTACATGTGTGCACCTGACATGTATGCAAGGATTTTTAACTTGTATTGCTTTTTCCAGATTAATCCTGATTCTGCTAAAGGATACAAGTCACGTGGCATGGCACGAGCAATGCTTGGTCAATGGGAAGAGGCTGCAAAGGATCTTCATGTGGCTTCAAAGTTAGACTATGATGAGGAAATAAATGCTGTACTAAAAAAGGTTTGCTTTCTTGTTGCTCTGTACTTTTTAAAGAAGATATTTACGAAGCTATTATGGACTGTGTAAATAGATGAAAATAAAATGCTTAATTGAGTTTGACCAAAGTCCACCTTAATGCATCCAAAATTAATTCACCCATGAAAATACAGGACAGGACACAGGAAAGACTATCTGATTGTATGTGTCCCTAGAAATTGAAAAATGACATGGTGGGGAAATGTAGATAAGTTAAAGTATCAAAATATTTTTATTGTGTAAAAAATATCTATATCTATTTGAATATGAAAATTGAAGCCTTAAAAGCTATATGAAGCAAGGAATGTCTTTGTAGATTATGTTCCTGAAAATTGGATGCTGTTGGATTAGTCAGTAAATTGCTAAAGACACTAGTTCGTGATTTATTGGTTCAATTGCAGTAGAATTGTGTGTACAAATTTAGACAGTAGTTTGTGATTTATTGGAACAAGATAAAAAATGATTATATATGCAAGAATATCAGAGTAACACTTATAGTGACAAATATCACAGAAAATTGTTTAAGGTAATTTGTTCACATTCACATCCAAAGTAAAAATAGACTAAAATTAGCTTTAAATGAAATTAAGAGAAATTTATTGATAAATAATACTTTTGAGAATTTTATTTTTAACTGAATTCCATGGTGTTGTTTGATCCATGTAATTGACTTCACTAATGAAATAAAACTTGATTATTGTTATTGTTGTTGTAATATAATTGGTTATTGTTATTGTTGTTATAATATAGAAAGATAATAGCTGTGGTTTAATTGTTAATTTGTTCTCTCCAATTTCATATCTATAATATATTGTTTTATGGCCTGTCTTTATTGACGAATTTTTAAACTTCAATTTGAAGTATGCATGAATTTATTTTCCATATGTTTATACAATTTTATTGTTTTAATAGAAGTTAGTTTTTTTAAGTCTGATTATTATTATTGTTCTTTTTTGAGATATTTTTAAATATAACTTCCATTGACTGTGTTGCCATTTTCTCTATATCTGGAGTTTGGCTCCCTGCTATGGGCGACCATCTATGACTGAAGCAAATTATTATTGGATTTGTCTAAGTTAATATCCGAGTTAAGCCTCTAATTGTGGACCATATCAATACTGTTTTCAGTATGTGATGGATTGAACTCTTTTAAAGTGAGCAAATGCATAAAATGAAAATATAAGTATATATCCGCCATTGATTTCAATTAAAGAATCTTGTAATCTAAACTAACTTTCTATCAACAATGATCTTTACTTCTTTATTTTACATATTTACTCGCTTTAGAGGAGTTTGTTTAATGTGATTTGAATTCCTTGAAAATTGAAATGTATGTAAGTATATGATATACTGATTACTGACATATCTATCTAACCAAAACTAAAAACAAAGGCAAAAAGTTAAGTACTGTTTAAATGGTTGAATTTATTTGGTGTCTCATTGCAAATTTTAAATTGTCTAGGTGGAGCCAAATGCTCACAAGATTGAGGAACATCGTCGGAAGTATGAAAGGCTGCACAAGGAAAGAGAGGATAAAAAAAAGGAGCAAGAGAGGCAACGTCGACGTGCTGAAGCTCAGGTTCACAGTTTTGATATAGATTTGTTTGCTAAACAACATTCCATGAAATGTAATCCCATGTAATTTAGTTGTTGAGTAGCTTTGCATTATTTTTCCAGGCTGCGTATGAGCAGGCTAAGAAGCAAGAGCAATCATCTTCCAGTAGAAATCCTGGAGGCATGCCTGGTGGGTTTCCTGGTGCTGGTGGCATGCCTGGAGGCTTCCCAGGGGGCATGCCTGGAGGATTCCCAGGGGGCATGCCTGGAGGATTCCCAGGTGGCATGCCTGGAGGGGTGCCTGGAAATGTTGATTTTAGCAAAATCTTAAATGTAAGTAAATCTGAACCTGGATTGTTTTTTATGTGCCTTTGATGTGCTAAAAATCCTCTCCCCCGATGTAACATGCACACACGATTAATCTAGTCTTGAGTATCTAAAGTTCCTTGATATATCTCTCAGGATCCTGATCTGATGACAGCATTTAGTGATCCAGAGGTCATGGCTGCTCTTCAGGATGGTAAATATCAGTTCTAATGTTTAGTTCCATTCTTTTTTCTAGTCAATGTCTTTTTATTTTTTTTATTTGAATATCCATTAGACATGTGTCAAAGCTTGAATTTTCATAAGCTGCAACGCCATGTGAATTTCTTTGCGTTGTTAATTTTCGATTTTGCATCTCAATAATTACTGTTGCGTATAATTTGGATGAGGATTGTGTACTCGGGAGTATAGGTGATGAGAATGAACAATATGTAAATCCTCTGCTCTCCTCTCTCTCTCTCTCTCTCTCTCTCTCTCACACACACACACACACACACACACATACACGTTCACTATTCCTTAATCATTACCCTGTTCAATAAGACTAAATGAAAATGATTGACATAGCTACCGGAATTGGATGGCAGCTGACAATTATCCAAAAAGAGTATAGGTTATAAAATGTGAAAGATTGAACTTTTCCGTCCCATTTGAAGAGACACTGCCCTCCCTCTCTCTCTCTCTGAGTCCTTGTCACATCCATACTAATTTTAACCTGCTCAGGCATAAATGACCATGTGATATTTAATGGCCTGGTTTACATCCGTCTCTACAAGTAATTTGTGTGGGGATGAAATTGTTATCGTTCTTAACATGGCATGCTGTTCATAGAGTTCTGAGAATTATTGATGGAATATCTACGTAGATTTGTATAAAATTCTTAAAATAGCATGTTGAAGATATAGATTCTCCATGCTGAAAGGTCTTTTATTGTATATATAGGATTTAATATTAATAAAATATAGGAACCGTCAAGTTCTATAGGAAGTTGGATAATGACCCTGTTACGTTAAACATAGTAGATTGGGAAGGAAATATCTGATTTTTGGGTTGAGTGCAGTTATGAAGAACCCTGCAAATTTGGCAAAGCATCAAGCAAATCCTAAGGTGGCTCCTGTAATTGCAAAAATGATGAGCAAATTTGGAGGTCCCAAGTGAACACTTTTCGATGCTTATTGGAGATTTCAGCATTCCAGGCCGCTGCCCTCGGGTATCTAATGTTCATTGATATTGCATTTTTCATTATGATGATGAAATTATTAAACATTTTAGCGTTTGTAAGGCCTGTTTCTTATGTGCTCATAGGCTCGGTCCTGTTGGTAGCCATGTTTATTTATCAACAATGTAATGTTGTTTTCCCGAGTGAATTTGAATGATTAAAGTTATCTTTTCATTTCAGGAAAAATAAAAGTATAGTTTCTTAGCTTTGTTCCCACTGATATTGATGTAGAGGTATGGTTTATATGCCCGGTGGTGGTTTGAACACACTTAATTACTAGCTTCGCATCATTAAAATTTGCATAATCATTGTTCGTATCTTTTCAGCTGACTTTTCCACACCATAATTATCAACCCGCACGGGGGTGGCCACTTCCATTATGCTAGATGGGATAGCTGCTATTCTGAAAATTATTGACGTAGATAAATGATGAAAATAAATTATTGTAAGAAAACATCTATTTGTTCTAGGAGGAAATAGTTCTCAAATTCCTACCCTTTATTTTATTTTGATTTGACGGTTTAGATTAAATTTCAGTTAACGATTATCATGTGGCACTTCTTTCGCTAAAGCTCAGCGTGAAGTTGCGACTCCATACCTACCACTGTCAACATGCGATTGTTCCCCATTAAGTTCAAGTAGCAATCTTTGAGAACATTCCTAAACTATGTTGGTTAATGATTATGAATAATGCAATCGTTCTAACAACAATAATAAAGTTTTCGACACATTTTGATGAATCAGGTTTCTCCATATTACCAACTCAATCAATTGCATGCATTTGGGTTTCTTTTCTGTTACTTTTCTATTCTATCGTAGAAATTACCGATTGATATAGAAGGTAATACCTTGACTACCCTAGTTCTATTAAACCTTAAAGGACCCCTTTTTTTTAGTTTCATTACCATTAAAACCAAACTTCCATTTGGAAACCACCATGGAAGAGGAGGAAAAGCTATCTTGACATCCTATGCCTGATAACCTCCCTCTTTGGTGCTGAGGTTTACTACCGTGGATCAGGTCATGGGTTAACCATGGCGAGTTCTTTTTATTCAACTTCTCACTCTTCCTCCTCCTCTTGGGGAGAGTGAGTGCATGTGAGAGTTCTCGTTGCAAAGGATTGTGTTCGTGCCCGGAAATTTTGTACTTTCGATGAAGGTTTTCACCATGCTGGACTGATATTTCTAGCTTGAAAATACGTTGATTGGCAGCAATGCATGAACTCTATTTTCTCTTTATTAGTGAGAATGCGTCCTCCATTTCCTTTCTAGCAGCGAATACCGTTTTTTAAATTGGAGTACCTGTTGACTGTGTTTGCAGTCTATTTGCTCATTCCTCCTCGTCATTAGTGGTGCTGGGAACACATTTACCAGATTCCCACAAATGTCAATTCTCTTTATCATATGGGGGAAAATGGGTATCTAGAAGGCAATTTGAGCGGGAATGTTATGATAGAGTAATTTTAAACAGTACGAAAGCGAATCAAGTTGGCATAACTAATCAGGGAGAAAAGAGAATGAATTTGGTTTGTAAAAAAATTAAGGCACGACACTTTTGTGTATTTTTCGTATTAATTATTATTTCCTTTTTTAAAATTTTTGTAACATTATTATATAATAACGCGCTACATCATTTAATAAATTTGACATTTATATTATTTTAAATATAATAAAGTTTTCGGGCAATACTATATCAAAATTGAACTCATTTTGAAATAGTGAGATTGCTTGTTATATTTATATTGATATAGACAAGTTAGCCATGTGTTTTAGTCTGAGCATGGTTCCTACTTAACAGGGCAAAATAAGCAAAGCTTCAGATCCTCCTTTTCGTTGACGTGAAAAGGAAAAAAAAAAAAAAAAAACCTCCACCGTTTTTTATTTTTATTTTTTATAAATTTAGAACTCCTTAAATATTTTTAATGTAAATTAGTAAGAAAATGATTTTTAAAAAAATCTTTTAAGAAGCCGTGAAAAATTAATTCTTAACTAAACATGTATTTGCATCAAGAAATAGTTGGCTCAAGTAATATATGTTTTATTATTCTTAAATAAAACTTTTTTTTTGTACATAACATAGTTTTTTTTTTAAAAATTAACCGATTACGAATTTAAGTAAGTTAAGTTAAGCACTTAAAATTTAAATTTGACTAAAAATAATATAATGATTAAGTTTGACTCATTTATTAAAATAAATTAAATTTAAAGTTTAAAAATGCCAAGCATGAGTATGACTATTTTTTATTTATTGATATATTTTTAAAGTGTATTATAATGTTATGAATAAAAAAAATTGCTTATTGATATATAATAAGAAACTCTTTATTAATTAAATATTTAATAAATATTTTCTGGATGAAATTCAAGAATGAAGGAAAAAAAAGTAAGGTTATATTTAAATTTTATGTTTAGGAAGAGAGGAAAGGGGAATAGAGATGTTAGTGAGGTTTAACTTTTATTTAAAAGTTAATTAATCATAAAAGAAATGGTTCAGAATTTTTTTAACTTTAAATTTCTTTTAATGCTAGTCTTTTAAGTTCTTCTATTCTAGTATTTTTTTAAAATAAATTTTTAAAGTGATTAATTTATTTTTTCTTTTTTATTTTCTTTTCTAAGGAAGGGTGATGTTAATTTTTTAAAAATGAATAACAAATTTTTTTTTAAAATATGTTAGTTTTTGAAGTAAATTTTTTTTCAAAAATTATAAATAAATTATTTTTTAAAGAGAAAAATACTTAATTTTTTTATATTTTTAAAAAATATATAAATAAAAGATATAAAGAACAATAATGTAATTTACATATTTAAAAATTCTTTATCACTCTTTTCTCGTAATATTAAACATCCAAATAAGAAAGATGTTTTAACTCTTCTTTTTTCTTCCTTCTTTTTTTCTCTTCAAATCTTTTCGTTTTCTCTCCTCCAAACATTTAGATAAGATCTTAAAAAATATTTATATGAATGGTGTAATAATAATTTTTAAGATAAAAATATAATTATTTAAATATATTTCTTATTTTTTATGGGAATATAATTAGTTAGATAATTTTTTTTATGTGAAATTAACATTTTAACTTTATATATATATACACATTAGTTACTTAAAAGTTTTTAGTGTCCAAGTTCATAAAGTTTGCGTTTAATCAAACAAACAAGCTCAATCAAGATTTTAATAATCAAGCTAAAGTAATTCATGAATGATTCAACTTATTTATACTTCTAAATTTATATAATACATATGTTTTTAATTCAAATAAGACTGACTCTCCTAAAGAATACATAAAAAAAATTATTAGAGCTCTTCAACAGTCAAATTCTAAACGAAAAGGCTTCTTGCTTTTAGGTTCGATACAAAATTAGGCTTCTTATCATGTTCATGTCCAAAATATGAGTTTCCCTCTCCCAAGTTCCAGCTAGTTTTACTGGGAAACTGATTCGCCAACCATTGGGCATTGGGTGTTTGAACAGTGACAACATTACACAAGACTTGCGAACATTGCGTAGAAAGTAATTTTCACAGAAACAATCAATTTGAAGCGGTCTCATCTCATTTGTTAAGTCTATGGAATATATAGGTAAGCCGTCTAACTCAAAGCTCATGCTTTTATAATGTAATATTACAATGTAATGTCACCCTTTTCTCTAAGTCTACCAAAATAATAATTTAGTATCCATCTTTCGCCGCTTCTAGTGGACAGGGTTTTGCCGCTTTGGTTCAGTATTGTGTAAGCAAACTTTGAGGGGTAGATGTATCACTCTATTTTTGAAATATTACAATATGAACATGCTTTCAAGAATCATTTTATTTTGCCTTTGTGAGTCTTGGCATTTAACACTATTTTGAGTACTTAAAAATAGTTTTTTAATTAAAAATAATATATTTTTCTTAATAAAAAATTTTCACTTTTAGTTGCTTATTGATAATAGAAACATTGTAAATTTACGCTAATGGTACGATGCATTCAAGGTATACATCAATTTCTTATGTCAATAGAAGTGCTTACTAATAATTATAAATTTATATGTTGATGTAAGAAATTGATATATAGTATTGGTATATTGCTGTTCGTATAAATTATAATATTTATATCAATTTTTATTAAACAATAATTATACTAATTATGTCAAGCATGAGAGCGAGCTTAATTTTTTTTCTTCTAATATACATTTATTTCTTCTTGTAATTTTCTTGTATTCAACTTATTTTAATTTGTGAAAGCTTTACATGGAATGCAGTCTCTTCTACCACCGAAGTCCATGTGTTCACAGAAGTCTCAAATCAGACTAATGACCTGATCTTATGTTAGATTTATTAGTTTACATTGAACCCGCACTTCGTTGCTTGTCCTTAAAATTTTCTTCCAAATCATCATCAAAATACCCCAAATAAATAGTGTAGCCATATTTGAGCTACAAAATTCCTTGTGCCCTGAAATGCTTTGTGTTCCCTTGTCATCTGACCACCAATTACGCTGTTGAAAATTTGGAATTTTCAGTCAGAACTCTAATCTAAACAAGTTGAAAAAGTTTGAAAAGCCTCTTCAAGCGTGCACAGGACTATATACTAACACACTTAAAGCCAAATGCACTATGAACCTTTTGGTTTAGTAATTTTCAAATTAATTAGTCACGTCGGTCTTCCGCGACAATCCGTCCATGTGGTTAGCATATATGGCGTAGCGTTTCTCTCGGTGACGATTGCATTACTCACTAATTACGCATTTATCTTCTCAAATTGATATATTAATTACTTTAAGATGTAAGCGTTAATATAATATGAGAATTCTTTGATAAGATAATAACATTAATCATTATTCTCTCGTTATCAAAATGCTACGCTAGAATTAATGACCATAGAATGTGCTTGGTAGGTTGTGAGCCACGTACCAAGCACTATTATTTCTTCGAATGCTCCTCTTTAATAGGACTATTTTAAGTAATCAAATAGTAACTTAGAAATTAACCTCGTTGCACCTATACATGTTTGTAAATTGACGAATAACATAAAACGCTGCTGATACGTACTGATAATTGCTTGCTAATTGATTATACTACATTCATGAACTGTACTTTTTGGATGAAGTGAATGACTTAAAATGGTCTTAATTAGCAACATACGACATGAAACCTATATTCAAAACTTTGTTATTCGGTTTTCTCGATTTTAAGGAAATACTAATTAAAGTGATGTTTAATAGTTTACTTCTGACGGCGTTGAGACTTCGACATCTTAGTAGACCAACTTTCTTTGCGTTGAAAATCTTAATTATACGTTTAGAATTGAATACCAGGGAGCGAGAAGAAAAATAATAATATATAGGATGTTCAAGAGTTAGATTGAGTTTGACCAAAAATAAAATTTAAATTATTTAAATTTGATTACGTTGAATTGGGTCAGGTTTATTTTTATTTTTTTTTAACTAACCTGACCTAAAACCAACTCAATTAATCAAACTTGAGCTAGATCAGATTGAATCATCAGATTATTATATATTTATGATTCTGTTTAGTTAAGTTCACAAGTTATATTAGATCATTGAAAACCCTTGTCAATCCAACTCGTTCATATATACGGTATTTGTAATTCTACTAGGAACGTAGATCTTAGCTTCAATTTAGTTGGTAAAAAGTAGTCGTCAAACATCAAATTAACATGTTAACATGATACATTAATAATTCGTTTTTTCATAATTTTCGCGACAAATCTTTACCCCACCTAGTAGATTAATATGCTAT